CATATATGCATATATGCATCCGAAGAAGTGGGCTGTAGTCCACGAAAGCTTATGCTCTAATAAATTTGTTAGTCTCTAAGGTGCCACAAGTCCTCCTGTTCTTCTTTTTATAGAAATAACTGAATACTAGGAGAGGAGAAAAAAGGCTTGTGGTTAAGACAACATTCCTTACAGCGGAAAGGTAGGGAGTGGATTACTAACCACAGGAAGAATTATTAGAAATATAATACACTTTGTCAGTTATTGGGAAGAAGTACCTTCCTTTAAGTTGACTGTAGCAGTTAACCCTTTGCAGTCTGATATTTTCTGTCTCTGTCCTGTTTTTGTTCATTTTTAAATTGTAATGTGAGTATACTTTTGCAAAGTGACTATGGGAAAATGTTTTCTGGGATTCCATGTTTATTATCTCTTACATGCTTCTATATCAAATTTGCTCCACTTTCAAATGGAAAGATGGCTTTTCTAACTGCAAGCCCTGAAAATTCAGTCTGGAATTGAAACATAGCTTGATTTTTATTCTGGTTCATGCATCATTACCAGTAGATTTTGCAACTAGAACTTAGTTAGCAGTTCTGTTGAAGGATGAATGATAATTGAATCCAATTAGCTTTCCCTGATTGGTGTTGGTTCTGCAGTGCTAACAGGAAAAATACCTAAAACATTTAAGTTTTATGTACTTATTTATTTAGATTAATTAAATAGTATATGAGTGCTCATCTGGGCATCCCATGGCTGAGTTGATAAAACCAGATGACAGACTGCTCTTTCCACATTAAAATAACAGCCATCTAAAAACATTACATGTTCAAAAATCTCCCTGCCACCTCCAATTTATCCCAACAACACTCTCCCAAAGCGCCCTGGAAAAAAGAGGAGTTATGCACTATGCCTGGAACATTAGCTAATCAGGGCTCTGGCTTACTAAAGGGGGGAGCTCATTCAGAATTGAGGGGCTCCCAGAAGACAAAACCCTGTCAGCAGCCCTCTCTCCTTGATGCTGAAAGAGCAACAGCTCGAGCACCTCCTCTGATTGCAACTGCAGGGGTATGCCATGAGGGAAAGGTGGTCTCCCTGAGAGCCTGCTCCCATGCCAGTATGAACTTTAAAGTTCAAAATATAATGTCTTGAATTTCACACAGAAACCTAGAAGCAGCCAGGCAAGCTCATGGAGCATCAGTGTTAAATGTTCTTGGGGAGGTCCCTATTAATAGGCAGGCTGCCACATTCTGCACCCGCTTCAGGTTCTAAGCAGTGTAACCCTGCCTCCAAAAGAAATTATCACACTTGCCTCACCAAGCACAGATGGAAAATGCATTTTTAGCGGTGGCTGCTACCTGATCATCTAGCAGGAGTCTTGGAGCCAAACATACTCCCAAACTGCAGAACTCTTTTACCAATGGAAGCCATACGCAGTCTGGGATGTTGATGTAATTTCCACGAGTATTGCTGCTTCCCCCACTCTATAAATAATACCTCGGTCTTATCTGGATTTCGCTTCAGCCAGCTAGACCCTCAATCAGACCCTGAGCGCCAGGTTTGAATCAATAAAGGAAACATATATAACTCAGAACACACTGAAAATCAGTTATACAAGAGAGCAGAAAGACTCTTACATATTGAGAAGAATCTTCATCATCGTTCTTCCCACTTGCCCTTTTAATCTGTGCATACGACTGCCTGTTTACTTTCAGTTTCAGCTCTGCTGCTGCCCTAATTGAGGGTAACACTCATTTGTGGGGCCTGGGAAGGGACATTCACTATCAACAAAGCGGTGAAAACATCTACACACAAAGTGCTGTCCAATGCACAAATTAACAAAAGACAAAAATGCATCTTTCCACTTTTCTGATCTCTTTCCAAAAGATAAATCTTAGGGTTTACATGTACATACAGAATTATCATATGGAAAGTGATTTTCAACTTTTCTAAGTCCTTTGAAAGTCCTCTAATTAAACACAGAAGAAAGAGAATAGGCCATAGTATGGGGTGACCAGACAGCAAGTGTGAAAAATCGGGACAGAGGGTGGGGGGTAATAGGAGCCTACATAAGAAAAAGACACAAAATTGGGACTATCCCTATAAAATCTGGTCACCCTACCATAGTAGTACATGCCCATGATCTATTCATGTGCCTCATCCCTGATTTGAAATCACCTCTAACAATAGGAGGATTCTTCCTCCCTGTACAGTTCATAGCCTCTGTGAAGATACTGCTAACAACCTGCCCTTACTGATGGTGCTTTCTGCAACCTTGATGTAAGGAACCACAGATCTAGAACCCGGGAGCATAGGGGTCTGGGAGACCGATGCCTTTATGTTGCCACTGGGGAATCAGCTGAAGCACCACCCAACAATTACGGGATGGTTAGGCTCCATAGGCAGTACCACCCAAATTGGCCATAGCAATAAAACCCTGAGGCCACCTGATTGGTCCACACTATTTAAACCACAAAGTCTGCCCAGGGAGATGCTAAGCAACCATACAGACTCTTCCTTTCTATTGATCTTGTCTTTTTGCCCTGTCTAGCTCCTGACTCCTGCCTTTTTCATGGCCTGACCTTGGTACCAGTTTCCTGACTCGACTTGGTAACTAGTCTTGGCTCCTACCTTTGACCCCAGCCCAGTGGATGTTATTGGCCTGGCTGCCTCTGCCCTGGTCATCTTGCATAGGCTGCCTATGGTAAAAAAAATGGTTGTGGTGAAGCCAACATTCAGTTACTACCAGGCTGGGCTGATTCAAACAGGTAAGCAATAGTTAGAAGGCTTCCAACCTTCTATTATTAATCCCCTAAAACATTAATTCCTAGTGTTTGTGGGTTTCCTGATGATAAACAATGCATGATGAACCCCCCAGCTTGCTTGGTATAACTGCTGCAGCCCTGCGAATCCTAACCATTGTTATTATCCATACAAGAACAAACAGGCAGCAATGGACTCATGGGAGGTGAGCAGGCCCAGATTCCTGATCAGAAGTGTCCAAGTTCATGCACAGAAATACAATCTTGGTTTTCCAAAATCAAAATACTTCACCAGACTTTCCTGGTATCAAATACTAAGTTAAAAGCTGAGCACATTAGGATTTATATTTGACTTTCCCGCTGTAATGGCATACAATGAACTAGTTGGAGTAAACTGAGAGCAGTGCTACTACTTCACCACTAGGTATCCACTTGTGCACATCATTTAACACTGTATGAGAGGCTACCAGTCGCACACCAACGCAGATTCATGTCTTATAGCAGACATCAAAAACCATTCATGTAATTTTTATTGATTGATTTTTATATACTGAGCAGCACCAGTGTGCATGGTGCTGTGCACTGCAAAATATAGAACATATTGGCCCTGTGTTTTTGGTGGTTACATGTAGGGTTGATGGAATAAGGAGAATGGCATGAACATTAATTCCTACAACTCAATGTATTATTTTTCATTGCACGCTTTCAAAAAGTAAAGAAATAAACTGGCCTGATTATTTTTAAATTAGTTTTTCCTATTTCCTGTAAAATCATGAGTCAGTCTATGGAAAAGTGTTTTATGAGGTTTTGACTAGTATTTCAGTAGGGGTGAAAGTAACTTAAGGGACTTACCGATATGCAGGGCCGGGGTCCTGAGCGGGGGGAGGCCGCTCGGGTGGAAGGGGTGGGGCCTCAGGTGGAAGGGGTGGGGCCTTTAAATCGTCGCTGCTACGCCGGGGCTCCGGCTGCGATTTAAAGGGCCCGGGGCTGCGGCTGCGGTAGCGGCGGCCAGGAGCCCCGGGCCCTTTAAATCACTACCGGAGCCCCATGGTAGCTGTAGCTGCTGCGGCAGCCAGGAGCCCCAGGGCTCTAGTGGTGATATAAAGGGCCAAGGGCTCCGGCCGCTGCCGGGAGCCCCAGGACTTTTAAATTGCTGCCAGAGCCCAGGGGCTCCCGGGCGCCGCCACTACCCCAGGGCTCTGGCAGCGGGGCTCTGGCAGCAATTTAAAGGGCCCGGGGGTCCTGCTGCTGCTGGGAGCCCAGGGCCCTTTTAAATTGCCCACCTGGGGAAGCTGCCCCCTGCCGGTACAGTCACCTGTGTACTGGCTCTTGGCAGTACGCCGGACCGGACCAGCTTACTTTCACCTCTGTATTTCAGTTTATTTCCCTGTTTTATTACAGAACTTAATTTTCAAAGTTGGATGCCTAAGTAGCCATACTTAGGTACCCAGGTCAATCTCTTTTGTGCTGATTTGGGCACCTTATGTACCTAAATATAAGGGATCTAAATAAAATGGCACCCAAATAAATGGATGTCTAACTCGAGACACACAAGTTTGAATATTGGCTCCACAATTTCATCTTGTAACTTTAAAAAGTGAAACATTCTACTTTAATATACATGACACTGGCTTCCAGCAGGGGATCTGCCCCTAGGAGTTTTATCACTCTCAAATAAAAGGCCTGCTCCTGCTTTCACTTAAAGCAGTGATAAAAATACTAGGGGCAGATCTCCCGCTGGTATAAATTGACACTAATTGACACCAGCAGGGAATCCGCTCCTTGGATTTTTTTCACCGCTTTATGACTGTGTGTGCTGGTGTGGTTAAGAAAAATACCTGTTATTTTTGTAACCAGCCACATATGTTCCATTTTCATTACAAAATTTTTATCAGCAAATCATTTAGACAGTGCATTGTAATTTTGTAATGATTTTTATACATTTGTTTCCCAAAATTAAGTAACAAAATGTGTCTGGGAATGTTGGTATTGTAACTCCAAATTCTTGTTGACTCACTCACTTCCTGATGAGATCCTTACACAAAAAAGCTACAACATGTAGAAACTGCAGTGTTTCTGTTGCTCAAGCCATTTAACTCAAGGTAAGGCTGCTGGACAATTCAAAAGACATTATTTGTCTCCTGCTCCTAACAGTGCGCAGAATGTGAAGAAAACTCATGTAATGTTGCAGAATCCAGAGCAGAACAAAAGAGACGATAAGGATGTAGAAGTATTGAATAAAAAGTACAACAGAGTCTCCACTTAACACTTTCCTTCTTTCTTCTCTTTAATATAGACACCTACCTGAACCAAAGCCTGAGCCAAAACTTTCCAAACCAGTCTTGATTTAAGGATCAAAATTTGCTAGACTTTGCTATATCTTTACATGATGTTCTAGGCAGATCACTCTTTTGACTGAATTACTTATAAATGTTATTTTAGCAATTATATCCCAATAGTAACAAACCAAGGGAATGTCAATAGATTAATAGTCTAGACAATGATTTACACAATGGATTACAGGTGGTTGAAATTTTTCAAGCTAAATGTTTCTACTTGAAAAATGCCCATTCTTTAACCATGAAAACTTTTGCAAAAACCTATAAAATTCTGAAAATAATTTTGAATTTTTTTGCAACTCTTTTTCGTGCTTTTCATCCCTGGCAATGGAAAAAAATGACTAGAGGTCAAGTTATTGTGAATTCCTGTTTACTTTACCTAATGGTCTCTGTTACCAATACTTCTACGGGAACGTAACCTCCTGTTTTCCCTGCTATAATGATTAATCTGATTGCTAAGAGAATTTGTATATTTCTGTCCTTTCCTCTTTTCTAGAAAAAAAATGGGCAAATGCTGGAAGCTGTCACCTATGAAAATCCAACTGGGAATAACCCACAGGTAATCAGCAAAATGCCACCAACTCTACTTACGTAGAAGAGATATGTGGGTGGGATTCGTGTTGTATTGGCTCAGGCCATTATTCCATCAAGTCTAGAGCTGGGTGACCTGTGAGCTACTTTCGCAAACAATTGTCAGTATCTTTGTAACAGTGGGATATGAGTAAAGGGCATGGTAGGTACTGAGCAAAATGTGTTTCTTTGCATGTGTGGCAGTGTTTGCAGCTCAGCAAAGAACATCTGTGAAACAGAACATTTATGACAACTAATAGGCCTGCTTCAGTGACTCCAACTGGAGCAGTAACAGTACTAATGCAACTGCACCCTTATAATTATGTATTTCAATTGCTTATGGTATTTTCTACCCCTTGGGCCAAATTTAGAGAATGTGTAATCAGGTGCACCTCCACTAAAATCACAGGTTGAGCCCACTGACACAAGGTCTGGATTTTAACTCCCATCTTACGCAGCTGTGAAATACTGTGTGTACTGTTGCTATGTTTCAGCACAGAGGTGGCTGCTTTTTAGTGGTCTTAAGGTGCTTTGGGGTCTTTAATGGTGTTAAGTAAACGTAAGACCAGTACAGGGTATTGAAACAATAGGTCACATTATGAGTTTTCAGGGCATATAAAAATCACAAAGAAAAAAACGAGATGAAATTTAAACTAGATTTTTTTTTAAAAAACAGAAACTAGAAAAATCTCAAATGTTAGGGCTTCATTATTTCAGGCAGGCTGGCTTGTTACAATTTAAAACATTGAATATCTTATCTTACTGTAAACTATAAAGTAAATTTGATGGCAGTAATTAAAATAGCAGTATGCTATGCATTGAAGCAGCATGCAGGTGACACAGGCACTTGTATCCTAAACCTCATACCATTCCATCCACAAGACTGCAGTCACTTCCCTGTTTCTCAAGAGAGGAGAACAAAACGATCCGGATATTTTGAGTGCAGTTTTCAGAATGAGCACTAGCTACAATGCACCAACTTTGCCAGTCAAAATTGCCCATTCACATTAATGGATGACATAAACAAATGTGTGTGGCAGACTTGTCTTCCAACACAAACATCTCACAGGAGCTAAGCTGTAAAAACAATAAATGTTCCATGCTGCTGGAGAAAGTAATGAGAAAAGTGCTCAGATGTGACCTTTGTGAAAAAGCTTCATGAGACACACTTTTCTTTCTTCTTTGATTTCAGTAGTTACAGTGATTTCAACAGTGATGTCAATAAGATCAGAATCTAGCTATAAACCTACCGACATTTGTTCTAAAGTACGACAGATTTTGTTAAAGTGCTAACTTTAACTGAATACCCTTCCTGTCTCAATTTCCCAAGCAACCCTATTATATTCATGTCCTTCTGAAAGATTGAATTCTGCACCACCCACTGGACTTTTTTTTTTTTTAAGAAGATGCTTCCAAGTTAACATTTCTTCTGAGCTTCTCAGTGCATCCTGTCTGTTTTTGTCTTGGAAGCTCTAGATAGTGAATGTCTTAATTTTGTATCTCATACAATACCCAGCACAACTGATGACACCTAACAAATAATAATAATTAGCATTCAATTTGAGTTTCACTAATTGGTGGTGATCCCAAACACAGAGTTGGAAATGGAGGTTGCTCAGTCTTTGCTCAGAAACTCTTAGCATGGGTTCCAAAAGGGTATTTAGGCACGTAAGTCCTGTTTTTAGGAGCCATTACAATCCACAAAACACCCACTCAGCTGCCACCTAAACCTGCAGGAGACTAAAGTTGCTTGGTGCCTAAGTTTTTGCAGTGAAAGTTCTCTAGGTGCCTATGTTTCTGCCTCTGAGCATGCTCACTAGTGCCTCACTCTAGGAGCCCCCTTACCCTCCACCCCTAGCTATTTTGTGCGAACTTGCCTGAGGGACCAGATACAGTAGCAGCCTCTCAGCACACCTAGTGGATCAGGCCCTGCATGCAATATAGGCAGCCAAACACCTATCTTCCCCTGCTTCATGACTCACAAGCAGAGATAGGTACTTTCCTGCATCCCAAACTTGGCGCCAAACTCCGAGAGAGGGGTGGGGCTTAGAACAAATCCCCACATTAGCATCTCCTAAGGGCTAGAATATGCAGCTCCCTACCTAGCGTGTGCTGGGTTTGTGGATCATATTCTAGGACACACCTCTCTCCCCAGGTATTATACAGGTATATACTATACACCTAACTCAGGCTTTGTGGATTGCTATGTTCCTGTGATTCCTTAGGTCCTTTTGTGGCCTTATTACCTGGGTAAAAACTAAGTAAGATTCCCAGAGATTGGAAAACCATGTTCTGTCTATTCAAAATATTCTTCAGCCCCAGCTGTTCCAGATTCACAGCAGTTGCTATATTGTGGCGCTCCGGATAGCAAATACATGCAAGGCGTTGCCTGTCAGTCTTGAATAGCTCTGCAAATACATTCATACACATTTTATCTATAACCACAATGAATTCCAAGTTGTGTGGTGTGTTCTGGGCTGCATTATGTAGCACTGTAAGCAGTGCAATGCCCTTCTGAACGCAGGTGTACTGGTGAGATTGACAGATTGGCAACTGGTTACTTAGGGTTTATCTGGCTGAAGTTTGGTTGCCTCTTCATATTATAAATGTCTTTCAAGGGAATAGGCCACAGGCCTTGCTCCTCAGTTCCTCCAGGATGAAAGTAATATTTTTAAATGCCATAGTCATTACGGCTTTTTATATTTCCCTGGCAGTGCTGATAAATCTGTCTGAGTAAATATTTCTGAAGTTCAAACATGTCAATAAGAATTTTAAGGGCATGCATTGCAGACCATCTGTTACCATTAAAACAAGGAACCACCTGAATGGTGAAGAAGTGGAATTTAGAAAAAACTGTGGAAAATCAAGCTAATCAGAGTGCATCAGGAGGCAAGTCCAGGTTGAGCAACACAAGGAATTTATTGCAGCTCATTAAGCATGTTGCGCACATAATCAGTGAAGCTGAGTCAGAAAGGATAGAAAATGAATGTATGTGCTACCAGTTTATTGTCCAAATTCACTAAGTTAGGTGCAGGGTGGTATAACTTCCACTCCCTTGCACCAGCTTAGTCACTCAGTGTTGCTGCTGCTTCTCACCTCCTGGTATTTTAACTTGGAGAAAGCAACTTTAAAATCCATTAGCAGGCCCACAGCAGCACAGGCTTTTCATGGAGACGATGTCTCAGAGTATCCCTCATCTATCCATTCAGACTACACCTTGGCCATAGCCATATGCGTTTTGGGCATCACTCTGTCCCACAGCTCCCCAATCCTTGGCAGTGAGGAGGCTGTGGTTGGCTTCTGATGCTGGAACCTTATTCTCTTTTAGAATATGCTTTGGGGCCCTGCAGCAGACCCTGGGCTGAATTTAGCCTCACAAATATTAGCCGTAGTACCTGCTGTGGTAAAAGCACACACACTGGAGTCTGCAATTAATAGCTAGTGGATGATGTTACTGTAAATGCAGTGAGAGTCATCATAATGATGTGACCTCCCAGCCATGTAAAGGTCAAAAGAGTTTTATTTCTAGGGTGAACTTAAATAAAACAAACCTCCAGAAATTGTCAACCAGCATACTGGAGAGTTTACTCATGATTCCATTAGAGAGGTTCATGGGATCAAGTCTCCAAAGAAAACACTGAACGTTTTCCTTCCTGTACAGATGTTTGACCACAAGCAGAGAGACAGATTATGTTTTAAATTCTCTTTCACATTGCTTCAATCTTTATTTGTTAGACATGATCAAGCTTGAAAGCTCCACATTTGCCTCTCTTTCCCTTGCACTCCACTCCCATCTGCAATCATTTATGTGCATAGACATTCAGACCAGATTTTTACAAGTCGCCAGTGATTTTGGATAGCTTGGGTTTTTTTGGGTGCATAACTTGAGTCTGATTTTGAGAAGTGCTGTGCACCCTCAGTGTTTGTTTACGTCTATTGGCGTTCTGGGTGGGTGCTGAACACCTCTGAAAAATAGGCTTCAAGCGTCTCAAGTTAGGCATCCAAAATCAATGATCACTTTTGAAATTTATGGTCTTGGACTGTTCTATTGATTATGGGAGTTCATTTCCCTAGAGCACATCCCTACTTATCATGCTCAGAATTGTCCAGTATTAACCTTCATTGCAAGCTCCGTGAGAAGGGACCATGTCTGCCTGCACCCCATAATATTAATTAAATGCATTCACTATATGAATGCATTTCAAGTGGCCCCTGAAAACTCTGTGGAGGGTAGTGGATGTTTGGCTCCTATCAACATTCAGGAGAAAATGAAGAGGGCCACTCAGTTCCAGGAGGGGAACAGGCCACGAAGCCCTCCCTGAAGTCACCAAGATAAGAAGGAGGGTGTCTCTGGAGTCTGGGTACAAAAGACACTTTTGGAATGGGACTTTTGGAGGTTTGATTTAATTTAGAACCTGAATCTTCAAGTGAATATCACAGCTACCACTGCCAACCCCAGCAACCAGACCCTGTCTGATTTGCACAGCTCTGATAAATCTATATCCTTGGTATAGCAGTCAGCCCTAATAAATATCTGTCATGTATCAGCCAACCCACAAGGGCTGCAACACACCTAAAATCCTGGTTGATGAGTTGAGAGAAAAAGGCAGGACTCTGGATTTCTTAGGATCACAGCTTAGGGTGTGCATATGATACTTCCCCACTGCTCCCCTTCAAATTTCATTCTTGTGAAGCAATTAGGTCAGCATGGCAGCCCAGGCAGGGTGTAGCATCTCTGATTCTACAAAGCCAGCATTCTGGGCTTCTGCTTGTTTTGCTCCCAGGCATCAGATAAGATTTACAACTTTTGCAGTTCTCCTTTTTGCTTCCCACACTGTTATTGCAAATCACTGAATCTACAGTATGTCACTGATTGATATTTTTTTAAAAATGTGACTAGTAATCTTCAACTACTGTACTGTCTGAATTTAACAACCACGATAATATTAGGTTTGGTCCCATTAATCTCTCTCTTTAGTAATAATGCTAGGGGGAGGTTATTCTTAAGAATGTAGAGGAGCCTGTAACACCAGATCTGAGTTAATACCTTAAATCCCAAATAAACACACCCTTTCTTGATGTTTCAGGCTGGGCATCCTAAAACTACTATCCAAAATTACTAGTCACTTTTGAAAATCTTGGCTTAAAGAGTGATAGTGTACTTGACTACACTATATTAGTCCATTGAATAACTGAACTGTACCCTGTGCCAAAACTTGTTCTGAAGTAACACTGGCTTCCACTGTGGCACTAAATCAATTGAGTTACTTCAGACAGACACCATCATACAAGGAGTCTGTGGCACCTTAAAGACTAACAGATTTATTTGGGCATAAGCTTTCGTGAGTTAAAACCTCACTTCTT